AAGTAACTAAAACATTTGCAGTTTTCTGTATTTATTATTTTTTATTTCTACTAATCAACAGACAAAAAAACCCCACTCATGTTCGTTCCAGATGGTTGATTATTATACTGTATTTAAAGGTTGTTGTGCTGAGAACCCCATTTATGTTGATGGTTGTTTCATGGAAAATCACACACAGCTGCAGCAGAATTAGAAGCAGGACCGGCAAGAAACAAAACACCACAGGAAAAGATTAAGCACCGCTCAGTCATTTTATCTCATGTCTATGTGGCGGTTATGATCAGGAAAAAAAAAACTTGTAGTTCATGTGGTCAGCAAAAATCCATGCTCGACTAACCGAGGCACCTTTTCCCCTCCTCACTTTTCTTTGTGCCTCTTTTTGTGACAGCACCTCAGGCCAAAACTTGGATCCGGCAGGAGGAATTGGTGTGAGGAAAATTCATGCAGTCAACAGCTAGCCATGCACAGGTAATCAAATCAAGAAATGACCCAGCAGTCAGGAGACAATAACATGCACAGTAATTTGCAGTATGACACAGACTTTTAAATCAATGTTTTAAACCAGAAACTACATTTTTCAGAAATTTAGCACATAAAGCTTGAATAAATACTGAATTGGTATGTTTTTGTTTGTTTGTTTGTTTGTTTTTTTACATGTAAAGTAATTCAAAATGGCATTTTCATGTCTTAATATCTTATGCACATTGCATTACAAACCTTTAATGTTTGTCCTGATTACTTCAAACAAAAACGTTAGTGTATTTTAGTGGGATTTTATTTGGCTAAAACAACATTCAACATAATTTTGACAAGTTTAGGTATAATCTTAATTTTAGACAGAATTAAGATTATACCTAAGCTTGTCAAAATTATGACTTTTATTTACTCATTTTACTAATAAAACCTAAAAAGTGTTTGTGAATCTGTTCATCTCCCTTTACTACAGCACCTGAAATCAAATCTACTGTATGAAACTGTCTTCAGAAGTCACCTAATCACTGACGAATGCACCTGTGTAATTTATTCTCATTGGCATCTGCCATCGCAAAACATAGGCGAGCATTGCATTTGCAAAGCAAGGCATTGTACCGCTGCGTGCACCACCACGATATACATATCAAAACATGCGGTGGTTGGATGCGGGCTACTACTTCTGTTGGTATTTCAAGTGACCATTGCGACATAAAAAGAAACTAGCCAAATTGAAATCAAAACAAATTCTGACAGTTTTGTGGTCTCAAGACAGAGATAGAAATGCGTCTCCCCCTCTGTGTCTCACTCACACGTGACAGTTTTCAGACAGGACTGGTCACCACAGCGACAGAATACTGAGGGGAGCGGAGATGTAGAGAACTACAAACATGGCGGAGCGCTCAGTTCCTGCAGAGGAAGGCAGAACTTCCAATTACAGCTGCAGACAATGCCACCTTGGTGGAAAACTTACGACAGGCAAGTATTTTAATAAATTTACCACCAATGACAAGAAAATAATTATAATTTCACTTTTCTGAAAAATTCACTACCTGCACAATTCTTGTTAATTATTAAGTAGTGTAAGATAAGTAGTATTTCAAGTGAGCAGAAGAGATCTTATGTTTTTTGAACAATAACAATGTTTGTTGTTAATACGTTGCTCATGCACGTTTTCTAGTAACCAAGTGCCCTGAAGTAAATATGTGATTTCCACTTTTGCAAAATTTTACCCACTATAAAGTTCTTGTGTCCAAGCAGATGAGTAGTTTTTCAGAAGACATAATGATTTATAAACGATAATACTTGTTATTAATTTGGTGTTAAGAGAAGAGAGTTTTTGTTCTGGTAAGGAACTGCCACGAAGTATAAATCAAACTTTTTCTTTTGTGTTGAATGTCTGTTTTATATTATATTTACCACCAATAAAAGAAAAATATTTTCACTTTTCAGCCTAATTCACTAACTGCACAATTCTAATTAAATAGTAAGCAGTGTAAGATAAATAGTATCCCAAAAAAGGTGAACAAATTGTATGTTTTTTGAACAATAACAATATATGTTGGCAATCTGTGGCTAATATATTCACCACAAATGACAAAATAAAACAAAACAAAAAAAACAAAACAAACAAAAACATTTTCATTTTTTTGAAAAATTCACCAAATGCACAATTCCTGTTAAGTAATAAGTAGTAAACATGACATTTTTACTCTTCTAAAATTAACAATCAGAATTAATGGAAAGATGAGTGAAGCAATTCAAAAAGTTGCTTTGTAAGAGATTTAAGAGTGGATTCAGGAGATAATAAAAAAACATTCAGCCAGAGGTACTATGACACTGACTATGTGTGGCAAGAGAAGAAAAACGATATTCCTGGATGCTCTCTATCCAATCTGACTGAGCTTGAACTATTTTGTGGGAAATGGGCAACATTTCCAATCTATGGATATGGAAATCTGCTGGAAGATACACCAAGAGACTTGCAGCTGGAATTGCACCAACATATGCTTACACAAAATATTGACTGAAGTGAACATATATTCTTAAATATATATTTTTTTGGAGTTTTGAAAAGCATATTTCCTTCTTTTACAACTTCACATTTATACCATACTTTGTGTTGCCCTTTCACATAAAATTCTCAAAACATCAGAAGTTTGTGACAAAATGTGTAGGGGTTTAAGAGGCATGACTACTTTTAGCACAGTAAGTAATTTGATACGTTATTCAACATAAAAATAAAAAAAAAACACTGATGTGATTGTGCTCTTGCACGCAAGTGATTATAAAATAATGAAAAAAATGAATATAAGAATATTTAAAATATAGTGCTAGACCTATTTCAACTGATAACACTTCCTCTTCATCTCCACCTGAAGAGAAGAAAATCACCAAAATTGATCATGCATTATATTTTCACACTGCTTAGTTGAAGGGTACTCTTGAAGGTTGAGAGTGATTCCTCTGATATGTACATACAAAGAAACAGCAAGATCTTTGTGCTATTTCTTTGAAGAATTCCACAATTATTTGTACTGAATTTAACGCAAGGCTGAAGACAAAACAGGAGGCAAAACTCTGATGCTTCCATGACGTCTGGGCATCCCTTTGCCTTCCCAGCCCCATTGACATGACTCCAGGCATAGGATGACAAAGGGAAGTCCACAGGCCACATGATTTGCACAGGAAACAAAAAAAAAAAGTACAACTACAGAATTTCTCAACCCCGTTTTCCTGAGTCCTCAGAGCTTAAGTGCAGTTTGATCCAGCATCGCCTTACAATGTCAGTATCACCAAACATCAGCAAATATTCTGACAGTGAACAAAAAATGGTTCTGACAATTTTGATAATTGCATTTTACTAGTGCTTTCGTTTCTTCAACACACCCAAAGGGAACTGGCATGAGCTGCCAGTGTTCAGAGAAAAGCTAATGTAACAAATAAAACATGACTGTAAAGGTGTTTATTTAGTTATCATTTGGTTCAGGCCAAGAATCCTGCTTAGGTGCTGCTTCACTGTGGGTTCTTGTTTGCGTCATTATATGAGAAAAGAGAGGAGAAAGACAGAAGAATATAAACACAGCCTAGTTTTCCTGTTGTTCTTTTGGTAAAGAACAGTCCAAAGTGTTCACTTATGGAGCCACAACTGCCATTATCTCTGCTTATCATTTATTTCCCCCCATAAAAAAGGTTCTGCTTGATTGGAGCTTCTCTCTTTTCCTTCTCGATTTCTGTCCTCATAAGTCCCAGTTGGTCGCAGCAAACTGCGTATTGTCCAGTTAGAGTTTCCTTTCTGTTAAAAGAAAAATGGTTCCCCATACTATCACCCCATGCTTGCATGAAACATTTTATTCTTTCTCTCGGGTTCAGAATTGAGACAGTAGAAGCGTGAACTGCAAGAGATTTTAAAAGTGAAAATGCACTCAGACAATGTAAATGTTTTGGAGACATAGTGGCCGGCAGCATAAGTCGCCCAAAACATAAGAGCATCATTTCTTTTGAAGGGGAAAGAAGGAATGTGGTGAGGCTTTTTCACAACATCTGGTGTACTTCACAAAATAAAAGGCATCAGCAGAAAAGAACATTATGTGGAAATGTTGATATGACACTAAAACATGCGTACATATGGGTCTTTCAAATAGACAATGACCCCAAGAATACCACCAAAACAGTTAGAAAGTGGCTTAAGGACAACAAAGTCAATGTTTTGGGATGGCCATCACAAACTCTGCATCTCTGTCCCTTAGAAAATTTGTTAGCAAAGCTGAAAAAGTGGGTGAGTGTGAGCAAGATGACCCATAAACCTGAATCAGTTACACCAGTTCTGTCAGGAGGTTTTAGGACACCCAGTATGCTTGACTCAAATCACACAGTTTAGAGGTGATAGTACCATACAGTAAAGAATTTGAATTTGAAGAGAAATATCCTGCTCATTATTCTAATATTTAGCAAATGCACAACTGCTAATTTGATATGTCGATCTCTATGCAGCAGATCCAGTTCAGCTGAACCCAAAACTGAATTCAAACTAATAAAATAAAATTCAATTCAAACAAGTCAAAGCGTTTAAACTATTTCCACCCTAAGTGATATTCACATTCAAGTTCCAACTTATAGAGACTTTTAGATTTTGAATTTTCATATTTCCGTGTGCTGTAGTTATCGAGCATATTTATTTAAAGATTATGTTCATGTGATCTGTCAGAAATAAAAAAAGTAATAATACAAAAAATCCCCCAGATGGCAGGAAGAACTTGAGGTTTCAAAGGTTAATAAAGTTTTTTTTTTCTTTTTTTTCTTTTCTGGTGTCTAAATATAAACTGACAGCATGAGTTCTGGAGAAAATGGGTGAGGGTAATTTTTGTCTGTTTCATAAAAAAGACAGCCCAGCTATATGACAAGTATTATTCATCATAACCTAAGAATTAAAGCTTCATTATGATTTAGTCATTTTTGAAAACATGGCCCGTAGTTGAGCGTACAGATAGTCCGTGGCAGCCCTTTCAGATTTGTTAAAGGCCACTCACGTGTGTTGATCTTCTGCAGGGAGATGTGTTTCTCCAGCTGGCGTCGCAGTTTGACTTCAGCTCCGTACTTTCCTGTTGTGCCATTGTCTGCCAGGATGAAGTGGGAGTGGAGACTGTTGAGAACCGTCAGCTTGCTCATGGGGTTGGACATAGTTTGGTACGGACGCACCACCTTGCCAAAGAGGGAAGACAGAGAGAGTCAGAGAGAAGAATAAGCACACAAAGTGAAAAGTGTTAACCTGGCAATGAGGTCTGTTTATGTGGAAAAATCAGGCAAGTTGCTGCTAAAACAGCAAGAGGAAGTGTGAATGGTGATGCACTCTTTTTTATTCGCAACAAAATAAGATGAAGTAACCGATTCCAGTTAACGCTACAGCCAAAATTTAAAAGGACAATTTTCTTATCCTATTAACATCAGTAAGAATCTTTCTGACATCTACACAAGCAATTACTTCAAGTATTTTCCAAGTATTTTGAAACTTTAAGTATCTGCTTTTTGATTGCACATAAAAATCCTTGCCATGTTACCAACTTAAAGCTAAGAGAGAGTGGTGGATTCACAATCAAACAAATCTCGCGAGACAAAATGTCCCACAGGGCATGGATAATGAGGCAGGACATGTGAGGTTTAACGAGACATGCTTTGAACACATCCGAAAGGAGTTATTTTGAAGAATTTTGATCAAAGATGCACTGCAAATGGGTTCACTCTTTTTTATGCTATTAGTATTGCAAGTGGCAGGAAACAGGAAGAACATGTGGCCATCAGCCTCCATGTTGGGGTTTGGGAAGATCCACACTTCAAACACTCTCTTTTTGCTGTTTCTTGATAAACATTAACTGGACCCATTTGCTTTTTTGTCTGTGCTTCCCCATCCACACTCTGTTCTTCTCCATCCTCCTGTTTGTCTCTCTTTCAGGGGAACTTTAAGAAATCTTGCAGATCACTATTGCACATTTAACTCTTTGGTTAACTGGCATTTATTATCTACAGAAAGAGTGTTAAATTGCTATGCTTTTGGTTAACCAGTGACTGGCTTACAACCAGAGATTTTGACTTCCTTTATAAGTCTAAACAGACTTCATGTCTCACTGAGATTTACCTGTATAAATATGAGTGAAAATAACAATAATCTCCACTATTTTCATTTTCTCTGAAATATTAATCAGTAGCATTGTTTGAGCTCTACAATCCAAAGCCTTGCAGATATTCGTCAGGGGTTTTATACATTTTTAATGCCAAAATTGAGTACTTTTGTTAGATTCAAAATTACTGTGAACTCATATTTCTTCAGATATTTCTGAAGTTAGCTAGCTGGGTGGTTGGCTGGATAGATCCATCCAGTGCCTATTTTTCATTATCAGTTTGCAGAGCTATAACATTTCTCTACTTTGAACTGTCTACAACTCGTTCCAGAGACCCTCTGGCTCTGCCCCAGGGTCCTCTGGCTGTGGGATGTGTTTGTAAGGAAGCGACCCGATCGGATACCTGTGACTCCTTTCAAACCTCCAAATGATTATCTTCTGCTAGCTTTTCATATTATCTTCTAAAACCCGACTCCTTTTTACACTTGTGAGATTAAAAATCCAAAGCAGAGCCTGATCTGTTCATATGATCAATTATTTTACGCAACATATTTATTTAATGCAACTACAGCAAGAATGAATAGCACAGAAAACTGGACTGATATTTATAAATGACCAGAGTTTCTCAGAAGCTGGAGCATGGTGAACTGGAGCATGCCTAACAATATGAGGTAAACTCATCTCATCATTAGGCGCACAGTTAAGACTAATCAAGTGAGAAAATAAGTCCCTCAGCATTCGATCATCCCACTTCAGCCACTGACATTAATTGGCTCTGCTTGGCTTGTTCAGCAGGACAGAGTGTGGCACATTCTGATGAAATGTAAGCCAAACCACAAACCGCAAATCCCAGAAATTTCAACAAGTCAGCATGAGCTCCACGGTCTTATTAGGATCTGCCAGCTCCGTGGCGCCCCATGAAGGAGTGTTTAACGTAGAGCGGACTGCCTAACTCTGCAGCTTGGTTAATGAGCTAAACCCTGGGGCAAAGGTCTGATAGGCACAGCGTCTAATAGGAGTTAATCACAAAAAATATCATCTTTCAAAAAGGATTTTGTAACATGTTGATTGGGGTGTGGCAGTCTGAACATCTAGCTACACAAATGCTAAAGAATCCAACTTCCTACTGAATGTTACGTCTGGCTGAGTCTTACATCTTTGCCAACAAGGTCCTCCTGATTTTCTACGATGCCCCATGGAGCTATTCCAATGGTGCAGATTTTGCCTCTTGATTTGGAGGCGTGGTCTTTCAGTGCGTCCCCCACATGCCGTATCACTCCTGCGTTTGAAAGATTCAGAGAGACAGAAAAAAAAAATGGACATATTTTGTCACAATCAATTAACAGCTCAATGCCACAGTCATGCACTCTGTTGTGATATTTCAACAGCATCTATTAGGAGTCAAGGAAACATGTGAATAGACACCCACACAGGGGCACACACACACTTCTTCAAGCATGTAGGTGTCGTCCTCAGGGGAGAAGCTTTCAGACCTGGAGGCCATCTTATCACATTTCTCCAGCTGACATTCATTCTTTCTCTACCTCCACCCACTGTCCATCCAATCCAGCCATCCATCCATTATTCAAGCCTCTCTCTTGCTTCTGTACCCATTCTGTCACTAAATCTCACTTTCTTTTCCTTTTTGTATTCAAGTGTGGGCATCCTCCATCACTCGATATTGTTCTATTTTTTGTTTGCCTGTTTTCATCTGAGCTATTAAAGATTACAACCCCTGCTGTTTTTCTTTTCTTCCTTTGACTCCACTAAAATAAATCTTTATGCACTAAAAATACACATTCTTGTGCTTGAAAAGCAAAGAACAGAAGCTGGGGTTATATCGGACGCTAAGTGAGGTAAGGGTGAATCAAAACATTTCTCAAATGTAATGAGAATCCTACCTCGAATTTCAAAGTTCAAGTGGGAAAAAAGTGATTTTTTTTCTAACATAAATGGACAAATCTTTTCAGTTGTAATCAAATTTATTAAAGTTACATGACCGGAAATAAAACTACAAGTTAGAAGTTTTGATACTACCATAATTGAAAGGACTGAAACATGTTTTTTGTTCTCCAGAGGAATTCAGTAACGTAACCTTACTGTACACTGGATATTGTTCAAATGGATTATTTGATGGATTAATTTAAACACTTACTTCCTCTGTTTCCCTGAAACCATATGGCATACTACGTATTTGTTTTTTACGACATAGTGCACGGATTTATGACTTTAATGCTTAAAATGAGGCCTTTCAGGTTGCCTGCCTTTAATTTAATTCAGTGTCCTCTAATAAGTCATTGGCCTCACTTCATATTTCTGGTGCTACTTTAAGTGTGTGTAATTTAAGTTGAGTGAGCACAATCTGCCATCCACCCACCGAGTGCTATGACAGGGATCCAGTGGTTCATCATCCTGAGAGCCCATACTGGCTTGACAAAGAGCTCTTTAATAGCTAATCATTCATGTGAAACACTTCCACACACTCATCATACTCCTGCTAGAAGTGCCCACTTCATTTGTAAAATGAGAATTTGGCTGCACAGAGCAAGCAAAATTCAGTATGTAGAGTTCATCATTTCATTTATCGAGTTAAACTCTAGATGTGTTATGAACACAAGGAATTTCACTTGACTTTAAAAATGTTCAATATTTATATTTCTATCTTTTTTTTTTTTTTTACCTGTGTTAACTCCTCCTGTAAATATCCAGGCCCCTGTCGTCATGGCTGCCTTGATGAGCCCTTTGCCAAAGACCTGCTTGAGCTTAGGCTGTAACTCGAAGTTCTGTAGGCCTCCATGGACTGAGATGAGCAGCTTAGGAAGCTCCAGCTGCCACTCCTTGGTCATCAGGTGGAGCAGCAAGTCAGGCTTAGTGTCATAAGACACTCGCACATACTGCAAACACAGCAAGATAAGCATGGTGTAAGCCAGTGGTTCCCAAAGTGTGGGGCGCGCTCCCGAGTGGGGGGGTGGGAGGGTGCAGTGGCATTGCAGGGGTGAGGGGGTGAAGCAGCATGGATGAATGGAAAAAAAAAAGAAGAGCAAAGAGTAAAGATGGTTTGTAGTGTGTTTTGTTGCAACCCGAAATGTGAAATAAACTAAAGTGGAGTTTGAAAACAAAAATATGTGTATGTGTTCATGTCTGGTTGAACGATGTGTGTCCCCAAGTTGATTTTTTTTGTGGGGGATCTTGGGTGACCACTGGTGTAAGCAGACAAAGTGCTTTGTGTGAGTATTGACACCCCAGGAAATGCCCATACATTTTTATTATAAAAATGTATGGGCATACATTTGGCTAAATAAGCTTTCCATAGCTTATTTAGCCAATTAAAGTCATGCTGCATTCATGAGATGAACAAGAAAATGAGATTTTAATTCTGGAGGGTATAAGGGTATAGGGTATAAAGGGTATAAATAAAAATGAATATATGTATTTAGTGCAACCAGTGGACCTACAAATTGCTCTTCATAGATTTTTCTAAACCAGCCTGTGTGAGCCTGGGCTATTTGGGCACAAATTAAGGCTTGCTGATGCAACATAACACATTTTGAAACGTTTCAAGAGGTACAATTGCTTCAACTCAGAAAACATGTAATTGTTCTAGAGATTATATATAAGACATCTCAAAGATAAAAATAAAGTCATGACATGAAAACATTTCTTAAGTGTTCTGCAACAGACCAGGAAACAATTTCAAGAGTTCAAGTTCCAAAACAGATACTTCCTGTGACTGAAGACAAGTGTCTGCACATGCATCGTGGGGAATCTGTTTATCCATCAAATGTATTGTCAGAAGTACAACTTAACACTGAAAAATGGCACACTTGGGAAATAATCTAAACATTTATCAAATGCACAAAATAACTCCCACAAAATTTCAGAGGAATTTATATGTGAGAACTCCTCTTGAGTTCTTACATAATTTGTTTTGTTTTGCATTTTAACCAATATAAAAAATATATATTAATTGGCAAAACAATCAGAAAAATGCTTATCTATATTTATCTAAGCCTTTATGTGACTTCTTTCCAAGAAAATTTATTTCACATACCCACACTTCTAACATTTTCTTCTCTTTGCCTGTGCTGCCAACTGAGAGTCTATTTATATTCTGTTTTAATACAGAATAGAAATAGATTATTTTCTTTTTATATTCTGTTTATTCCACCACTGCCTCAAAAAACAACACAGAACAGCTGGCATTTTTAAAGACTATTGTCTGTTTCCAGCACTCAACCTGGCGCAGCTCGTAATCAGGTTAAACAGGCTGAATGGTTTCCTGCAGTTTACTGTTCAGTGGAGAATAATCCAGTTCAAGGCTAAACCTCTAAGTATATGTATATGTATTATTTTAAAGGAGAGACAGTCCAATGTAGTTGTGGTTTCTCCAAAACACCAGTCGTTTAAACAGAGTCCAGCAATAGCAATATTTACTTAAGGCGTTTGCACTGCACACATCGCTGGGTGACACATTCTCATTGACTGGATATACAAACAAGCCATTTTGAACCAACAAGTTTTATTTATTTATTCAATTGTTTTTGTGTAGCCCCATGCAGTGTGTTGCCCTGAGCAGAAAACCGTGCTTTCCATAGCTTATTTAGCCAATTAAAGTCATGCTGCATTCATGAGATGAACAAGAAAATGAGATTTTAATTCTGGAGGTTTTGTTACATGTCATTCAGATGCATCAATAAAATACAACTGTTGACACTGAAGCGACTCACCATGGCTTTGTTGGAGTGTCCTCCTCCCTGGAACTCAATGGTGCCGAAGGCATCGGTGGGGCTGAGCTGTGTGTGCTTGCTGATTGACCACTTCTCTGACAGGCTGTCATTCTTGGCCAAACGCTCTGCCTTGTCATTTTGACTGGATGAGATACCTGGAGGCAAACCCACATGCTGACCTATGAGACGACCGCAGCAGCACCTGGATGGGGAGGAAAAGGTCAGAGCCACGTTCAGACAGCTGTCTTACACAGGGCCTTCTCCTGACATAATTGAAATGTTGCGACTTGTGAGCCCTAAGCAAAGTGGCTCTAACAGTAAGAATGAAAAGGGAGACTGTGAGAGAAAGTGATGGAGAAGAAGAGTGAGAAGAAGAGTGTGAAACGCTTCCATAAGCGTGTGTAAGAGGCTGAAGTGGCAGCTTGTCATCTCGCTTTCATCTTCTTATGGAGGAGAGATGAAGGATTTGCAGGCCTGTGCAGCATCTCACCGACTCCATCCCTTTTTTTGTTTCCAGTTCTTAAAACACCCGTCTGCTTTCCTGTCTCTCTGGTCTTCTTCTCCCTTTCAGCAACCCGAGACTTGGCAGAATGACAGTCATGAATTGTGCTCTTCCTAAATGAGCAAATGCTTCTTCAGAAGCTGTTCAATGCAGCTTTCAAGATATTGTGATTGGGGTAGAAAGACAGTCCTTGAAGAAATAAGTCAGGAAGCTTTAATTTTCAATTCATTTTTCCATCATCTGTCATCAAAGCTTCTTTTCCGCCCTTTGCCAAAAGTGTAAATGAAGTAGAAATGCTTTTGACAAAAAAAACAAAAAAACAACTTGATTTTGTAATGAGAAACATCTTTTTCCAGCTTCTCCAGCTTCCTCCTGCTCTCGGCATCCATTTGATTTTGTGTAGCTATGCTAATGTTGTTTATCAAGAAGCCGGGAGCTTTTTCTTGCATATGTTTGAGTTTATATGGTGCTTAAATGAAATCAGCTAAACCATCCGAGTTTGTTTTTGCAAAAATAAAGATACATCCTCTTGAAGTGCTGATCTAACCGTGTTGCTTTCTACAGTCTCACAATTAAACAAAGTGAATTCATAAGTTGTTTTTTTTATCTTAGACATTTGTTGGACCAAGCAAAATGTAAATGTCTACATTACAAGTGAAGCTGAATTTTAAGCAATATCCTTCGAAATAAAATAAAAAAATCTTCTGAAGTGATAAAACTGCATAAAGCTGAGCTATTCTTCAATAATAGTGATTTATCCATGCATCCATTTTCTATACACACTTGTCTCTAGTGGGATTGAGAATGGGAATAATGATTAATATTGATCACACTTTTATTCTTAAACAAAAATTTAACCAAACTGAGTTTTTGTAGTTTGAGTTTAGCAAATAAGTTATGAGTTATTGACAATTACATCTTACTTAATTTGATCAACATTAAACAGCTGAAGAAAAATCACATCGGACACTTTTTTTTTAATCTTTAAAACATTTCCACTCACCTATGGGGGTCTTTGGCGCTCACTATGATACGAACACATTCTCTCTTGCTGAATGCCCTTTCTATCCACGATTTCTGTGCCTGCATAAGGAAAGACAAAACATTTAGTGGGTTGAAAGAGCAGAACTGCTTCCTGTGCATGGAGAAACTGGTACGCGTTATGTTAGCATCACTGCAAATCTGAGCAATGGGAAATAAAGTTATTTCTAGAATATTATTTGTTGAAATGAGGCAAGAAAAAAAATGTGCGGATATCAAAGAATTTGGAAGTTGCCATTTTACCGTACAAAACAATCACAGTCTTACACTGAATTGAAAATGAAGCCTCACATTTTTTTTTTGATTACTTAGATAGCTCAGACTGGAAAAGATGTAATGCTTCAAAAAATCTGAGGGAAATAAGGGATTAGAAACCTGCATGCCAGTCGAGCATGTTTGAAATTACAGTGTGTTCTGCATGTCTGCACAACTTCTTCATAAATAACAAGTAGATGTAGAAATTGTAGTTTCAGACAGACAGTCAAATTGTTCATTTTGAAACTGTGATACCCTGCAGCTGCATCTGGTGCAGGTGAGAAACCAATTATGGTGTTTCCAACATGATTGGAATAACACTGAAGAGCCAGAGAGAGGTGCAGCCACTGCACACAGTACAACTCCAGTGCATATAAAAAATAGTCGAACCGTTTTATATGTAACAAACCCCACTGTTCTCAGAACATGAACCCTTTGACATCTGCTTCTTCATATGTCGCAATGTTTATCCTGCGATGTCAGTGTGTGGAAACTGTAGTGATAGGGTTGTTCACTGTACAGTCCTTAGGGAGGCAAAAGCACAAATTACCAATTACGAGACCTCAACTGGGTAGTTATGTCCTTAAATACAATTAACTTTAAACCAAATATATATATATATATATATATATATTATATATATATATATATATATATATATATATATATATATATATATATATATGATTATCCATGTGGCTGAGAAAATACATACTACGTCATTTTTCTCCAGCAATACATTTCCAGTGATACTATTGACAATAATACCAAACATTCTAACATACAATTAAGTAAATGCAGCAAATTATGCTATATTTCATTAACTGGAAAAATTATTAGACACTTTCTAACATGTACTTAGTACTTTGTAGAAACTATTTTCATAAGACAACTTGAAGACTTCTCCAGTATGCTGGAGCTATTCACTTTGGGGTGATTTTGAACAATTCTTCATCACAATATGTCTTCAAATTTTAAACATTGTTGGGGCATAAGCAAAATTAACCCCCAAATGAAATGTTTAGAAAAGGGACAAAAAAGGAGAAAAAAAAGTACAATTTAACTGAAAGCTGGCATTTACAAAATATATCAGAGTGAGTTCAGAGATGTTTATGTCTGACAAGCCAAACGAATATTCTTGTGTCTTTACCAAACATACCGTTACAAACTTGTAGCTGTAAAGGAGGGAAAAAAAGCCCAGAAGAAACAACAAAACTGGATATGATAAGATATGAGAGATTATATGATTTTATGTATGACAGATGCCCATAGAATACATTGGACCTGATTTCATTTGGGTGTTTGCCCTTCATTAGCTGTAATTAATTCAAGTTGGCCCTCTGGGGATAGAAAAAATGTCTTCTGGCTTGAAATGATCTAAAAAAATAAGAGTTGGAGGTCCAGAACAAAAGATAAAATGTAACAATTTAATATTTAGCCATGATGTTAAGCGAACAAACAGTAGAACAGACGGCAAGTAGAACAAACCCAAACACAGCAAAGGTTAAAAGACGAACAAGTCGTTTCTCTGCTGCTGGCTGTGGGAGAGCAGCCCCAGCTCTTCTCCCAGTCAGCAAAGCTGGGGGCTGCTTTTTCTGGGCTTTCTTCACTGTCACAACTACAACAACACCCGCCTCATCCGCCTGACTGACCTGTCACACTTAGGCACCCCAAAACCCATCGCAACTGTCCGCAACCATGCCAGGCCTACACACTTACCCTAACACCAGACTTCCAACGATTAACCATTACTCTGTGGGGCCGAGGGGCCTGCTTTAACAGATTAGCCTGGCAAAGATGACTCAGCAGGCCACTGCTACAACCCCCCCAGCCCAATTCTTTCTCTGCTATGCCATAACGGCGTATTCATCCGCCAGCATCTCCTGGCATGAAATAGATCCTCTCGACAATTTTTTCCCGAAATAATCAACGCTGATTAGCCTGACGGTAGAGCCAAGAGCGGAAAATAAAATTGGTGTAGGATAAACTCCTATTTCCATGAAAAACCCCTAAAACAACCCAAGTCAATTTCATAGGTGGAATACCTTCCACTGTGCTGTTTTATGACTCCTTCTCTTACACTCCTCAATGCTGTACATGAGCTTGATAAAGAACGGCAAAATGGCACATGGCCTGCACTCAATTGTGTAATTAATATTTATTACTGGGTCACACTCAGACACACACAAACACGCCAGCTGTCGAGCCAAACATGGGATTGACTCTTGGAAATGTGTGCAGGGTGCTTGAGTGTGAGGCGTGACTGCGGCAGCAAATAACCAGCATCTGACAGCCTGTTAGGGGTCTCGACTCCATTACAGTCAAGACCCGCCACCTCCACCCTCCATGCGCCCCCTCCCCTAGTATTGTATCCTGTCTTTGTTATTGGCACTGGCAGGGAGCTGAATTGAGAACAAAATCCAATCAACATCCTAATGTCTCCACTCTCTCCTTTGGCTTCTTCTCCCTTAAAAAAAAATAAAAATAAAAATAATTCCTTTCTGAATGGCTTGGGTGTGATATGGTCATAGAAGTTACCAAGCTTGTATAAAGGCACATTATAAAACATATAACCTTTCTTACCCAACTCAAAGAAAATACAAAAATGATGAATACAATCGGGGAATGAGGAAATGTTTCCTGTTATTTTGATGTTTACATTGATTTTACAAATATCAAAAGAGACACCCAATCTGAAACAGTCAGCTGTTTTTAAATACAATCTCTTAGGAGTTCACAGAGTTGAATTTTCTTTAATTAAATATCTGACAAAGTCATGAAGCACAGTTGGCAAAAGATTGACATTTTCAGCTGTCATGTCATATTTTTTTAATGGAACAAAATTTAAATCCATTAACCTTTATGACCTAACACGTTACTGAAAGACCCATCAGCAACATTCAAAAAGGTATTGTTTTTATGCTATTTTACCTCCATACTATCTGAAGAATCATACATTAGAACGTGATATTAAAACAGAAAAATCTCAGACAATTATTATACATTTAATAAATATTAAAATTAGTGAAAGCTGAAGAAATTAGGAAAAACAAAATAAGGTTTAGGAAATAAAACAAAGATAGTGAAATTTACCACAAGAAAATGTAGCAAGAGTATGAAACTTGTGTGGTAAATTATCTTGACTCACCTCTGTCTAATTAAGGACTGCACTGCTGTAATTTTCTTTGTATATCCATTGTCGACGACAAAAGTATAAATTGAAAGATTCTGTGAGCGACCCACTAGAGAAAACTTCATCTGAGGAAACTGGATCACTACACAACTCTGTCTACAGGCTACTACTAATCTACTGCGGGTGTAAGCTGTGCTAGAAAAAATGGATATGCATTTGTGTGTGCCTGTGTTTGTGTGCGTGTGTATGCGTGTGTTCTCATGCCATCATTGTGTTGTATTTGTGCCTTTTGTGCTTAACTATCTCTGCCCGGCTCCTTTATTTTGACTTTAATGCACAAACAGGTGAAAGATTTAAAAGAAAAATATAACTCACAAAAGTTGAACAATGTTAGGATTTTTGATTATAAAAAAAACAACAAATCTGCAGTATTTCAGCTGGCTCATTATATTCAAACAAAGATTTGTGTTGGTCCCTCTGGGGAAAATGTGTAAAAAAACAAAACAAAAACCCCTCAGACTCAAATTTGTAATGAAACAGCAAATGTGTTTTTCTTTTTACTTTTGGCATCACTACCAAACAATCCGTTGACATCTAGAGAACTCTATTGGCTTTTGCTGATATTTTATGATCTCAAAATAATCTTGAGGGCTTTTTTTTTGTTTGTTTGTTTTTTATTTGCCATCCTGTTTGCCATCCACATTTGGTGTAGTGTGCACTGGCTTAAAAGAAACTCAAACTCATGAGTTATTGTCAAAATGTCTCTAGAACCCTAGGAGAGTGAAGTTCACATTTAAAGAAGCTTAACTTACATTCAAAACATGGTTGAATAAATGTTCTCATGTTAAAAATTATATTTTCCTAAAATGTCCTGGTTATTTCCAGAAACGGTATGTGAAGGGAATTAGGAATCCCCAACGTTTCTCTTCAGCACCTCACCTGTTTAGGCTTCAAATTAAAACTGGTCAGAGAGAGAAAATCGTCTCGATTTATTGCATTTCTGTCAGAGATCACTGCCAGAAGAGGGATTCTGAATGGCAATAGAGCCCATTAGGAGGAGCAGCATGACATTTGTCTTGCCTGCTCACTGCCCTTATTTTGCCCCGAATGACTTTCACACATGCATATACAAAACCCACAACTTGCTTCATGAGAGTTACTCCTGTACTGGCAGTTTTATTGCTTGAAAGTGTGATTTGCAAGCTGTTTAACAGATCTAGGGGGGAAAAACTGTCCAGTTTTAATTACAAAGCAGCAAGACTGCAACCTGAGCTAAATTAAGTCAAGCAAAATACAGTGCTTGAGGACATGGAAATAACACCTTGTCTCTGCAAATGCCATAATAAATGTGAAAATAAACCCAAACTCACACCAATTCTAAACACCTCTTTTTGTACAACCCCAAGAACCTTTGGTGCCTAAGACAAAGAAAAAAGGTGAAAAGTTGTTTTCTCAGATCAATGACATAGACTAAAACCCCACTTTTCAAATGAAAGTGCTAAAAAACAATTGCCACAGAGAGATAAACCAAAGCTGATAGAGCTACTACTGCAAATTTGTTTAAAGGTCAAATAGCTTAAAATTGCAAATGTTACTGCTTTCTTTGCACATCGGAAGAGACACCAAATTACATTTTACTCCCTTCTCACATATC